CCTGAGCCGGTGGTCCGTAGGGCAGAGCTCTGCACCCCCCCGGGGAGTGGGGGATGCTCCATCGCTGGAGGTGCGGCGGGCGGTTCGGGAGGTGTCCCGGGGAGGTAGGTGCCATGGGACTGGGAGCGGGAGCACAGGGACGAGCACCGTGGCGTGGCCCAGGGGATTTGCAGCGGGCGGTGGGTGGGTTCGCCTGGACAGGGCCACTTTGGGGAGGGTTCCAGGGTTTTTTCAGTGGCATGGCCCGCCTTGGCCCCACGGTCCTACAGCCTTTGCGAGGAAGCTGTGCCATCTTACTTCTAAAGAGCCTTCTAAGAATCGCTACCGGCGTTTTGTCACCCGTCCTTACAAGTGCATTCAGCTCTGAACAAACTCCCCACACCCTGCTGTCTGCGTAAATCCTCTCCTTTAGTTAAATTGGTGCAACTTTCTGTCCGGATAAACCTGAAACGCCCAGGCAACATCCTTCCCTGCAGCTTACATCCCTCTTTTTTCCTTCCCATACATGCACACTAGTAATTAAAGTGATTTACTTGTATAAAGAGTTGTGAAGCCGAAGGTTTCCCATCACCCTGCCCCGGCTTAGCCCCTTCACCTCCGCCCGGGCACGGCGTTATTTGGGGATTCTGCTTTGGTTATAAATTCTCCTTTCAGCACACGGCCGAACCTCCAGCGCAGTTTGTGCAGCTGGTGCGGTAGCACCCAGGTGCCAAAATTAGCAGGGCCAAGGGGGCACCCGATCTGGGCACCTTCGGACCCCCCCGCGTGGCATCGGGAGCAAGAGAGGGGCTGCAGGTGCTCCCCGCGGGGCGCAGGGTCTGGGCTGGGACATTTTGGTGGTGATGGCTGGCAGTGAGCTTGGGGATGGGCAGGGGGGTTTTTGGAGCCTCAGGGACAAGCGAGGGCAGCACCTCTGGCTTTCACCCAGGCTGCTTCCCCAAAATTCTGGGGGAATCACATGGGGTGGGGAATTTTTAGGAGGAAACAAGGCGGGGGCTGCAGTTGGGTTGGGCTGGCGGAGGGGGGTCTGCAGCCTCCTGGCACGCAGGGAGTGTTTCCCTGCTCCCGGCTTGCAAACCCCACGGGAGGAGGGGAGGTTGGGTGCCAGCGGGCTCGGTGCTGGCTGCAGCTCCCACCTTATCTGCAGCAGGGTGGGTGCCACTCTCGACCCCGCCACCACAGCCCCTCCTCGGGGACCTCTCCAAGGCTCAGGGCAGGCGAAGATCTCGCCTGGAGAAAGCCCAGCCTAGTGGGAAAAACTTCTGGGCTCCTTCATAACTTGTGTTGGGGAGGCGGCAGCACCCGTAGTGAGGACCTGACCCGGTTGCACCGGCACGGTGCCAGGGCAGGGGCTGGATTGGCAGCGGGGGCTCCCGAGAGGCGAGTTTGACCTTCACGGAGTGGGAAAGCGCCGGGCTGAGCCTGGGGGAAAGGAGGGGAGAGGAGAAACCTTTTCTCTGCGGGTAAGCGGCGATGGCTGGGTGCTCCCCCGGGCATGAGAGGTGCTGCCGGGGGCCGGGATAGTGGCGGGGAGAGCCCCGGGGCTGTTTGGGAGGACAAGTCACAGGCTGTCCCCAACTTGTTTATTCTTGGGGCCGGGGAACAGCTG